ACACCACAAAAAAGATGAACTCTAAACCAAAACGTAACAGCTTATCCCAACGCAAGAAGCTGTTAGCGAAGATGCTAACAGTAGCTTTACCAACATTAAGTTAAAGTTACCAAGTTTAAATAAACCAAAAACACCCAGCAGCAAACAGACCAGCACGGAGGAGAGACTGCTAGCACCAAAACAGCTCTCCTCATGTCTGAAAGAAGCTCCTTAATGAAGGGAGAAGCGCTCCCGGTGATTTTCTACATCTGCGATAGACACGAAGCAGCGCATCTGACCCCGGAAGTTGTTGCCCGTTGCCGGGAGACGAAGGCGGGCAAAACAGGAAAATAATCTAGTAGTGGACGGACGTTGTTCCGGGTCTTCTGTATTTGGCGGAGATGTTAGTGAAGGCGGAGAAGAGGGCGAACTAGAGGAAAAACAGGCAGATTCCTCCTCTATTTACAAACTCCTGGGGATGCAACAAGTGGGCGCGGTGCGTCGACTTCCGGATCTGACGTCGACAAATTTTTAGAATCGAGTCATCGACTTCGTCGAGGCTTCGCTACAGCCCTAGGTAACTAAAATGCATTAAAGTGCCAAATTATTGACTACATGCATCTACAGCACGATTAGACACTCATTTATGTAGTTTATCAGCAAAAAAGTGGATTTGGGGGCGACTTGCTCTTTGAACCCTGGACCCTGACTCTGGACTATTTGAAATCACCTGCAAAATTTTTGTGTAAAAATCTAATTAGAGGAGTGAATTAGCGGCCCAGTCATCCTGTAGGAATAGGTAGCAATCACTGCCTTTCATGCCATTATTTGGGGTAAAAAGGGACCGCCGTTCTGGTCAGTGTTGGGAGTAACGCCGTTTAAATATAACAGCGTTACTAACGGCGTTCTTTTTTGGGTAACGGAATAATCTAATTACTTTTCCCGCTGTTGCAACGCCGTTACCGTTACTGGGGACGGAAGGTTGTGCGTTACTATGTGCTTGTCAAGCGTTGAGCAGCAGTGTGAGGCTTTCTGACCGCCACACTTCAGCTGCAGCCAGGGAGAGAGAGGTGTCGGTAACCCTAACCCTAACGCACTTACAAACACGATGATGATTGGCCGGGTGGGCGGAGACCCTCAGTGTTCTCACTGTCACTGCCTGCTGTAGACCCAACAGAGCAGTGATGGGAATAACGCCGTTTAAAATAACCACGTTACTAAAAAAATATATATTTCTTTCTGTAACGAGCAAAATAATTAATTACCGTCTTCTTTTAACAAAACGTTGTTTCTGTTACTGATGAGGAAATGCGTGCGTTAAGCAGCGCGGTGAGTTGAAGCTGTCATCAGCTGATCAGGAGCTAAAGAGGTAGATGTTTTCATCCAAGCGCATCACGGCCGTGAAGAACGAGGAAGACGTGATGAATAGTCTAGCTGCAGACCCACCCCCCCCACCACCCCCCGCAGATTAGTTGCTGCAGCAGCGAATCTGCGGGTCTGCAGCCGTGGCCTTCTTAGTGTGACAGCGGGACGTCCCGAAGGTCCGCTCACCTGTTCACCGCTCAGACGTCCTGATCTTCTACCTTCCTAGATCATCCCGCTGTAACACTGATGCATCAGTCTCAGACGTCATGGAGCTCAGGTGTTATCAGAACTACCTGTGTGTGTTTACCACCCAGCTTCAGCTCTTCTGTGGTTGGGTCTGACCCACGTTAGTAAATGTAAGTCCTCCATCAGGCTTGTGCCTCTTCTAGTGTCATTTTAAAGGATATTTATTTATTTATTTATTTAACAGTTACTAGATTACCCGCAACAGAAATGCTACTAAAAACACACAATTATGTGAAGCTGGAAAAATTAGAATACTGTGCAAAATTACATTTATTTCTGTAATTTAACTAGACTGAGAGACCATTTAAAGGCTCAGGAACCTTTACAGGTGTTTCTATTTGCAATTTTAAATTTTAGCTGTTAAATATCACACAGTGACCTTTTAATAGTCTAGATTAGTGTAATGTTCCTGTTAGTAGTTCCTCCTGTTAAGTGCTTATTTATTTAAATTATTCAGGTTAATATAAAACATTTGGACATTTTATTATGTTCCAGTCATTAGTCATTTATATTTCACTATTGTAGTTACTCTTGCATGCTTTAATGAAAAAAGTAACTATGTAGTTATTTTACTTGGTAATTAGTTACTTTTATAATCTTGTAACTCACTTAGTAACTGAGTTACTTTTTTGACAAAGTAATCAGTAACTATAACTAATTACTTTTTTAAAGTAACGTTCCCAACACTGGTTCTGGTCAGATCTTGAACGTGAAAGTATGTTTGAACTCAGGTGAACTCACAAGGTGACCTGAGCATGTTGGGTTACAACTGAATATTTGCTTCGTTGGGTTTGTTGTAGCTAAAGTTGATTCGGTGTGGCAGCCATGATGAACTGAGTCGACTTCCCTTCCATCTCATGCAGTCCTGATTTGAGCTTATAATCAGTTATGTTTACACCAGAACATCCATGGTGTGAGCTTAAAGAAACAATGGCGTTATCAGGGCTTTTCCAGATGTTCTCTGCGTGTTTATTCAAAAAAACGCGTTTGTAATCTCTACTGATGTTGAGGTGTTATACTGGCTCTGACCCAGTTTGGTACTTTCAGATTTATCTCGAATTATTATGATTAATACAACACTCATTTTCAATTTCTGGGTTATTTTTAAATGTTTAATTCTGAAAGCAGAATTCTGGAAGATCTGTTTTTGTTAGTGTGAATCAGCACCTAGCCACGGTGAGTTCATGGACCTGGAAACATGCTGCTTTAGCTGCTTAAATGAACTTTTCTTGCTTGGCAAGTTGTGTTTTCACTGACTTAAGCCTAATTTATACTTCTCCGTCTGCTTCACGAGGGAGAGACACGCACGAGTCTCCTGGAGAGTGTTGCAAAGCAATTCCCCGCCAGGACAGCAGAGGGCGTAGCGCTGTTCTGTGGTATCCTGTCATGTATCGGTCCAAGACAGTGTGTTTATATTGTGTTTTTTGTATTTCAGTTACTTTTTAACACTGAAAAGTTTGTCCCTCATCCTCCTCCACCTCTTCATGCGCTCGCCACCTCTAAACCCACGTTTCCCATCATTTCCGTCCGCAAAAGAAACGTTTGCTGTTTTTACTTCTCCACTCACGGGTGAATAAAACGTTTATATTTTTAGAGTATCCCCACGACGTATTCTTCAAGCTGCTCCGTGTCCTCTGCTAGATATCCTGGGCTCTCTTTATGTTTTTGAGGGTGCAATGGCGGCCCTGTAGACGACAGCGGCATCCTGACCAATCACAAGCTTGCGTTCTCCGCCTAGACAGACAAATGTTTAGAAAAAAAGAGTTCGGCTCCGTCCGTCCTTGCGAGCACGTTTGAGAGCCCTGCACAATATATTGTAAATATATCGTTATCGCGATATCAGCATGCACAATATGCATATCGCAAAGAACAGATAAATATCGCAATTAATGGTCAGCTCAAATGTTTGCTACACATAATGCATTCTGTCAATCAAACGGAAGCATGATGGGTTTTTTTTTACTAGTCAAATAGATCTCTTCACCCATTTGGCCAAAGTTGGGTTCTCATAGGTTAGACGCCCGCCCCCGAGGCGGACCACACTTCATTTTGATGGTTAGCAAACACCTGAGTTAGCTTAGTTCTGCTCTTTCTGCTGATCCTGCTTTTCCCGGGATCCACTGATTGCCTTGTTCATTTTCTTTTTCCCTGTCCTCGCATCTTTTGCTTTTCTCATTTTCATGAATTTTCTATTTCTTTGTTATTGATTATTTTTCTTCCTGGTTTAAGTTTTTATGTATCGCAAGTACTATAGTCATTGCAATATTAATCACAGTTATCGAATATCGCAGGTATTCCTAATATCGTGCAGCCCTACCTCAAAAGGATGGATAAGGGTGTTGCGTGCGTCCGTCCTGACGTAGACGGAGAAGTATATATTAGGCTTCAGAATAAAAAATAATCACATATTTGAGTTTCAGGTGATGCTGAATATTGTCCGGCTCCCTAACCCTAACGCCGGGGACACACTGGCCGCGGAAGCGCTGCGAAAATGGGACCGCCTTCATTCGGCGCCCTTGTTAAGCTATTCTATAGACCACATGGGCCGCCGAAGCACCGCGAATCGCCTCGCGCCGTGCAGCGATCATTTCGGCGTTGGGTCTATTTTTTTCGCGAGCCGCGGGTGAATCGCGTCAATTCTGGCAGGAAGTCAAACGTAGACATAAGAGGCAGGCCGGTAAAGTTAACAAAATAAAGCATTTCAAAATAAAATTCCGCAATAGTCAAATGTGTTCGTAAACGGACACTGCAGAAAAACCACACGAACACACACACACACACACACATACATCGAACTTGTGTGCGTGTGTGACCACGTGAAGGGGGGTGTGGTTTTGGGTGTCTTTTCACCGGAGCAAACAGGACAGAGAGGCAGAAAGTCTGAGGCAAGCAGTTAGGATGGATGACTTTAAATGAATTATGGAAGTTGAGAAACACAAGGAGCTGTACGACCCCGAAAAACATGTTTATTTACGTACCCATTTCAGAAGAAACTGCTAGGATACAGCTGCAGAATTGGAGCGGGTTCCAAGAGATTCAACTGGCAGAAACAACTCATACCATAGGTTCACACACACACACACACACACACACACGCACGCACACACACACACACGCACACGCGTACAAACACTCAAACGTAGAGGAAAAGAGCTGAGAAAAGGCAGAGAGGACACCAAGTGTTTAAAAGAAAAACTACAGCTGAGCCGAGGCGCGCCTCGACTGGGGCGCGTCTGATCTGAACTGAGGAGCGGCGAGCAGCGGCCGAATTTCGTGAGCGATTCGCTTCTCGGAGCTTCGCGGCGCTTCCGCGGCCGGTGTGTCCCCGGCGTAAGGCTACGTTATCCTAACAATCTGAGGTGGTGAGATTCAGTCTGGTTTCCTGTGTAAGAGCCATGTCTGTCTATTAGGTTCTGGCCATTTCTGATATCGTGGTCTATCGCACACGGGCTGAGCGGCTCCACAACGACATGTTCCAGTTCCTGAGCAGCGCGTCAAGGGCCTACCTGAAGCACTTCACCCATGAGCTGAAGGCCCTGTCCAGCCGCTGTGGTCTGGATGGTCCTCTGTCCACTCTGGGGCCCGCCGTCATGGTCTTTCAGGAAACGACACACACTCAGCTGCTGGGTCATGGTAGGAAAACAAGCTAAGCCACCTGCTGTCTGCTTGGTGCTCCACTTCAGTTTCTGTTTGTAAAAATCTGTTCATCTGATGGCGACTCAGAGGGGGCCGGCCACGCTGACACGCTCCTCCAGAGGCGTTTTCATGACCTAGGTTTGGAGACAGAGGCCTTCAGCTCGATCCAGTATGTTGGGACCCAGACCATCACGCCGCCCACCAACTACCGTGGACTGCTGGAAGCTGTCGAACAGCAAGTGAAGAACACTCACACGCGCTCTCCACGCCAGCCAGGGATTGTATTTCAGGCTCTGGAAGTAAGTGGTCTCAGGTAGCTTTAGAAGATTCATGGAGAAGATCAGGTCTTTGCTTTAGTCTTGTGGGTGACTTATATCTGCTGTCTGAGCTTCTATTGGGTCTCCCCCAGGCTCTGAGCGAGCGCTTCTGTGGGGAACTATCAGATGACAAAATGACTCTTTACTCCTTTTTCCCTGATGAGTACTTCACCTGCTCCTCTGTGTGCCTCAGCTGCAAGTAAGTGTGAAAAACCACCTTCATCAGGCCTGGAGCATGACGGTGTCTCTGTCTCAAGCCCTTTTTAGAGGACACGTGAGCCAGCAAATCAGCGTGGTGCTGCCGCTATGGCAGCGGCACGGCGATGCGGGAATTTTGCTGCGTTCATTCTGCCAAGCGTGGTGGTAATATTACCACAACGTCGGAGTTGTGAATGCATATTACACCTTGGTGCAACAGAGAGAGATGTTTCCAGAGGGAGTTCTGGCAGGAAACTGAAGATGAAAGTAAACATGAGCCGTAAGTTTGACTTTAGTTAACAAAATCAGCTGAGATGATTAACTGGAGCGATGCAGATCTCCCAAGAGCTTCTCTCCATTAGAGCTGGAGCTCAGACCATCTGACAGGTCACGGGGACTGTGGAGGATGGACACCTTTAGGAGCGGCTTGTGAAAACACTTAGGAAGCACGGGTTTGATTGCAATAAAAACCAAGTTATGATCAAGTCTGTAACAGTGCAGAGACCACCCCCTTTATACTGTCATTGCATAATCTTTTGTAAAGCGGACATGATTGCACCACGTTACCGCCACGGTCTGATCACTTACAAATGACCTGAGGCTCCTTGATGCTGCCTCAGCTTTGCAGCAAATTGCCAGCATTGTCTTCTAAAAGGGGCTTTAGTCTTCATACCTGCAAACTTGTCACTTTTTGGCAAAAGTTGCTGTTTTTGAAGCCAAATGTGGCATTCACTTTAATCGTGTAGATCCGAAGAGTTTTTGGGGGGGTCTTCTGTCGGGTTCAGCGATGGGTTTCAGTCACTCTTATGGAAATCAACCAGTGAAAGGAGAGGGGGCTCCTCTTGTTCACAAGCAATCTCTGTTCTAGTGTGTTAGTCACGTGTCATCATTTGACCAATCACAGTCAGAGACGGCACACACAGCGAGTATGAGTGCTGTTGCTATAACTTCTCACAGCAGTTTTGAGCTTAAAGTTCGTCAAATAGAACAAAATCAGCTCTAAATAACAGTTTCCTGTCGAGGACTTTAGCAGATTTACCTTTATAGAGTCTTCCTGAGGCTGGGCGTGTTTTGTTTGATTGTTTTGGAGTTGAGTCGGGAGTAAACACCGCCAGTAATGTTGGTAACATAAATACTATTTCTGGTAAGACACGGCCACCAGTGTGCTACATCCTTACTGGTTTAAAACAAACCCAGTAAATGGATCTGGGCACCAGTGGTTTAAGGACGCTGGAGGAGAATCAATCAGATTAATTTATAAAGCGCTTTTCAAACAAAGTGTTTTACAAAATGACCCCAAATTCCCATAACACGTTAAAAACATTAACAGACATATGCAAACACACACACGCATGCGCGCGCACACGCACACACACACACGCACACAAACACACACACACACGCACACACACACAAGTAAAAATTATATTAGGCTGAGTCCAGATGAGCCAAGTAAGGTAAGGCAAGGAAACGCCATCAGAGGAGCCGTCTGCCCCGGCAGCATCAGGTCTTCCACACTAAGTCAGGGCGCTCAGTGGAGGGGGAGCATAGACCCCCACCTATAGAGCGCCCAGGAAGCTACAGTCGACCACCGCTCCCGGGGCAGAGGGCCCCTACAGAGGAAACACTGGATTAAAATGAGTAAAAATATAATAAAAGAGCTAATATTAGGGACAAAAGTTAGAAAATAAGTAATAAATAAAATCATATAGACAGTAAAATAATAATATTAAATAGTAAAATTGTGCTAAAATATAATCATATAAAACATGCAAAGCAAGCAATAAGATATAATCATGTAAAACGAGAAATAAAACTGTAGAAAATGTTTAGATAAAAGCTAACCTAATTAGATGGGTCTAGAGCCTGGACTTAAAAACATGAACGTTCTCTGCGGCCCTGAGGTCCTCTGGCAGCTCGTTCCAGAGGCGAGGGCCATAACACTGGAAGGACGCCTTGCTGTGAGTTTGTGTCCTGACTTTAGGGATGACCAGGAGACGCCTGCCAGAGGAGCGCAGAGGCCGTGAGGGTTCATATGGTAAAAGCAGTTCTGATAGATAAGAAGGCCCAAGACCGTTAAGACACTTAAAAACCATTAGAAGAACATTAAAATGGATCCTGAAACATACGGGGAGCCAATGCAACGATTCTAATACTGGTGCAATGTGTTCCCGCATCCTGGTCTTCATCAGGACACGTGCTGCCGAATTTTGTAGAAGTTGTAAGCCTGAGATGCTCTTGTTAGGAAGACCAGAAAGCAGGGCATTGCAGTAGTCTATCCTACTGGTGATAAAAGCATCAGCATCTCCGTATTGGCCCGAGAGAGAATGGGGCGGACTCTGGCGATGTTCTTTAGATGATAAAAACCTATTTTTGTGATATTTTTAATGCGTGGGATAAAAGTCAGCTCAGAGTCAAAAATCACACCCAGGTTCTTCACTTGTTCAGATGGATTAAAAGACAGAGATTGTAATTTCGGTAAAAGCTTCTCTCTCTGGGCCTCAGGACCGATGACTAAAACTTCAGTTTTGTCCTGGTTGAGCTGGAGAAAGTTCTCTGCCATCCAGGATTCATTGTCTAAAATACAGTTAAAAAGTGCATCCATTGGCCGAGAGTCATCAGGAGACACGGAGATGTACAACTGTGTATCATCAGCGTAACTGTGAAAGTTAACCCCGTGTCTCCTGATGACTCCGCCAAGAGGGAGCACTGGGCCTAAAATAGAACCCTGGGGCACACCACATGTAATCCCATGGACCCTAGAGGAACAGGTATCCAAACTCACCATGAAAGTCCTGTCTGTGAGGTAGGATGTGAACCATCTATGTACAGCACCAGAGAGGCCGATCTGTTTTAAACGAGTTAAAAGAATAGTGTGGTCTGCTGTATCGAAGGCAGCACTTAGATCCAGTAGGACCAACACTGTCAACTTCCGTTTGTCATAATTTACTCTAAAATCTTCAGAAGGGCTGTCTCGGTGCTGTGGTTCATCCTAAAACCAGACTGAAATGTCTCTAGGACATTATGAGTGTTTATAAAATCATTTAGTTCACTTAAAACCAACTTTTCTAAAATTTTGCTCAAAAATGGTAAGTTGGATACCGGTCGATAATTGTTTAATTCATTAAAATCTAAATTGCTCTTCTTCAACAGGGGCCTCACCACCGCCCCTTTAAAGGCAGCAGGAAAGACCCCCGTCTGAAGGGAGCAGTTCATCAGGGTTAAAATCTCGTCTCTAAAAGATCCATAAAATTGTTTAAAGAACGAAGTTGGAATTGGGTCCAGAACACACGTGGTGGGTCTCACTGAGGAGAAAACTTTGTTAAGAGTCTCAGCTTCTACAGGACAAAGCTGTCCAGTGTTTCCTCTGGTATAGACACACATCCAGATATATCTAAGACCTTATTACTTATGGTGGATAAAATATTCCGTCTGATGGCGTCTACCTTCCCTCTGAAGTGGGCTGCAAACTCCTCACAGAGTGCATTTGAGGGGGTTTTCTGAAGTGAATTGGATGTACGGTTTAAAATGTTGTTTATGGTGTAAAAAAGTTTTCTGGGATTGTGTTTATTGTCTAGAATGAGTTAGGAAAGGTATGCGTGTGTTGAATTTCTCACTGCGTTATTATATGATTTAAGTAGCTCTGTATATATTTGATGATTTATAGTTGTTTTGTTCTTTCTCCATCTCGCTCTGCAACCCTGCAATTTCTCTTTAGTTTCTTTAGATTTTCATTTCTCCACGGTGAAGCACGTTTTGAATATAGACTTTTGATTTTAAGTGGAGCGAGCAGGTCGAGAGCGGATTTCAGTCTACTGTTAAAATCATTGACAGTAAAATCACAAGAGGCAGTTACCGGAGTGGGAGGGATCTTTCTAAAAACTTCAGGAAAACCTGCAGCCACTTCAGGGGTGAGATGACGCTGCCTTACAGTTCTCATAGAGGGTTCCAGCTGGATAAAACTGGTGATGCTAATAAACACACAGTAGTGATCAGAAACAGCCAAGTCAGCAGCAGAGGACACACTGGTGGACAGGTCATACGTGATGACCAAGTCCAGGGTGTGTCCTCTGTTGTGAGTTGGCTGTGTGACATGTTGACTAAAATCCATATAACTCAGAATATTTAAAAACTCCTTTGAAAAAGGATCAGAAGAATTATCTATATGTAGATTAAAATCACTGGCTAAAATGATCCTTTCAAAGCAGTTGTGCAGGATTGATAAAAATGGCACTCTGCTTAGGAGGCCGATAAACTGTGACACATAAAATCTGAGGAGAGCTAAAAACTACTGCTGTATATTCAAAAGTGGTAAAATTATCAAATAAAACTGGTTTGGCAGAAAGTAATGATGAACTAATAAAAGCAGTAGCGCCTCCCCTTTTGCTACTCCTCGTTGAAAAATTAAAATCTGGCGGAGAAGCCTCTGTGAGAACAACAGGTGCATCTGAACTCAGCCATGTTTCTGTTAAAAGCAGACAGTGAAGATTACAATCTAAAATCAGGTCATTTATTTAAAAAGTTTTAATATCAGCAGAGCGCGAACATTTAAAAGAGCCATATTAATAGTAACTGGTGAAGGAGTGACTGTATTAACTGAAGGTGGGACTTTTGGTAACAGTTTTAGATTATTGGGGGGTGCTTTTGTTTGGTTTATGACTGTTTGTCCGCTCTCTGCTGATAATAACAGGTATGGATGAGGTATGGCAAGGCCCAAGTCCGATATGTGATTTACTGTTAAAATCAGGGCTGGGTTGGTAGGAGCAGGGACCTGCTACACATCAGGAAGTGGGAGCAGATGGGGCCAGTGGAGTGGGGGGGGGGGGGGGGGGGGGGGGGTCGTGTGATGAGATCATTTCATAATATTGAACATTTCTGCTGTTTTAAAGAGTCAGAACAGCAGTTTGCCCTTAGCAGTGTTTTATTAAAGTATTCAAGCAGAATTAAAGCTACATTTACCTGCAGCTGCTCTTCTGACCCACAGCTATAACCTTTTAGGGATGTTGCAGTATTCTGGGATATTTCCAGATGTTCGGCGTTCTGAGTGTGAATTAGTCTCCTAATAATTCTTAACATTATATGATGATGGTCCCTTATCCTCGTGAACTAGACCAAATTCTTGCTTTGCAAAGTTTGGTATAGGAACGCTCCAATGGAACCTCTGCAGACCCTAGCAGCATTCTGGCTGGCCAATCACGGCTCTCTAGAGGGGTTTCAAACACACACACCCTCTGAGTTTGCAGGTATGACTGAGTCTTGTTATGTTTGGGTTATTCAGCTCACATCGCTGTTCCATTATTAAACTCTTAGATTACATCAAGTCGTTTGAGATCATTACTACATTTACTACATTTCAAACGTGTTTTTATTAGTTTCTAAATGAAAGATCTGTGATGGCTCTGTCCCCCTGGGTCTGCAGTATCCGTTGTAAAAAAGGGATGAATCATCTTCGAGACAGAGTCCCCCACATGGCAGACGGACTCTGTCAGTACGCACATCAGTACAGCAACAAGGTTCTCATCTGTAAGGTCAGAAAGCCTCAGCAGTGCTCATATCCTGGTGTTTACTGGTGAGTTTGTTTTATTAAAATTGGTTTCATCTGCAGCGCTGTTATGAAGGAGGAAGAGAGGTGATTGTTGTTCCTAAAACATCAGCTTCTTCTGACAACCCCTGGTTAAGTCTGGCCAAGTACGCCTGGTCTGGGTGGGTCAGCACACGCACACACACACACACAGACATGCTAACACTAACCCACACACACACAACACTAAAGCCTGGTTTATGCTTCTGCGCCAGCTGCACAAGGGAGAGACGCACTGACGGAGACATCTCCGTCTCCTGGGGAGTGCTGCAAAGCAATTCCCTGCCAGGACAGCAGAGGGCGTATCACTGTTCTGAGGTATCCTGTCATGTACCGGTCCAAGATTGTGGATTTACTATTTTGTTTATATTGTGCTTTTCAGAAACTTCTTAACAGAGACAAATGTGTCCCTCATTCTCCTCCACATCTTCATACCCTCGCCACCTCAACACCCGCGTTTCCCGTCATCTCCGTCCATGAATAAAGCCCTTGCTGCGTAACTTTTTACACCTCCAGTCACGGGCAGTGTTGGGGAAAGTTACTTTTAAAAAGTAATTATTTACAGTTACTAATTACTTGTCAAAAAAGTAACTCAGTTACTAACTGAGTTACGAGATTATAAAAGTAACTAATTACCAAGAAAAATAACTACTTAGTTACTTTTTTCATTAAAGAATGCTAGAAAAATGGGTTAATTGAACTTATTTAATTTACTATAAATTACTACAATAGTGAAATATAAATGACTAATGACTGGAACATAATAAAATGTCCAAATGTTTTTTATAAACCTGAATAATTTTAATAAATAAGCACTTAACAGGAGGAACTACTAACAGGAGCATTACACTTATCTAGACTATTAAAAGGTCACTGTGTGATATTTAACAAGACCCCAATCAGCTAAAATAAAAAAATTGCAAATAGAAACACTTGTAAATGTTCCCGAGCCTTTAAATGGTCTCTCAGTCTAGTTAAATTACAGAAATGAATGTAATTTTGCACAGTATTCTAATTTTTCCAGCTTCACATAATTGTGTGTTTTTAGCAGCATTTCTGTTGCTGCTAATCTAGTAACGGTTAAATAAATAAATAAAATCCTTTAAAATGACACTAGAAGAGGCACAAGCCTGATGGAGGACTTACATTTACTAACGTGGGTCAGACCCAACCACAGAAGAGCTGAAGCTGGGTGGTGAACACACACAGGTAGTTCTGATAACACCTGAGCTCCATGACGTCTGAGACTGATGCATCAGTGTTACAGCGGGACTAAAGACATGATCAGGAACAGGTTACAGCTGGATGATCTAGGAAGGTAGAAGATCAGGACGTCTGAACGGTGAACAGGTGAGCGGACCTTCGGGACGTCCCGCTGTCAAGCTAAGAAGGCCACGGCTGCAGATCCACACCTGCAGCCGTAGACTATTCATCACGTCTTCCTCGTTCTTCACGGCCGTGATGCGCTTGGATGAAAACATCTACCTCTTTAGCTCCTGATCAGCTGATGACAGCTTCAACACACCGCGCTGCTTAACGCACGCATTTTCTTTCGTTAAAAGAAGACTGTAATTAATTATTTTGCTTGTTACAGAAAGAAATATATTTTTTTTTATTAACGTGGTTATTTTAAACGGCGTTATTCCCATCACTGCTCTGTTGGGTCTACAGCAGGCAGTGACAGTGAGAACACTGAGGGTCTCCGCCCACCCGGCCAATCATCATCGTGTTTGTAAGCGCGTTACTGACACCTCTCTCTCCCTGGCTGCAGCTGAAGTGTGGCGGTCAGAAAGCCTCACGCTGCTGCTCAACGTTTGACAAGCACATAGTAACGCACAACCTTCCGTCCCCAGTAACGGTAACGGCGTTGCAACAGCGGGAAAAGTAATTAATTAGATTATTCCGTTACCCAAATAAAGAACGCCGTTAGTAACACCGTTATATTTAAACGGCGTTACTCCCAACACTGGTCACGGGTAAATGAAACACTCATATTTTTTTAAAGGTTTTACACCAATCACAAACTTGCGTTCTCCGTCTCGTTTGACGGGCGTTTAGAAAAGCGAGCTTGACTCTGTTCATCCTTGCGAGCCTGCTGGAGAACCCTCGCAAGGACAGACACTGGGGTTGAGTGTCTCCGTACCAAAGCAGAAGCAGGAACTAGGCTTCTCACACACACACACACACACACACTAAAACTAACACTAACACACACACACACACTAAAACCAACACTAACACACACACACACACTAACACATGCAAGCACACACTAAAACTAACACTAACACACACACACACACTAAAACCAACACTAACACACACACACACACTAACACATGCAAGCACACACTAAAACTAACACTAACACACACACACACACTAAAACCAACACTAACACACACACACACACTAACACATGCAAGCACACACTAAAACCAACACTAACACACACACACACACACACACTAACACATGCAAGCACACACTAAAACCAACACTAACACACACACACACACACACTAACACATGCAAGCACACACTAAAACTAACACTAACACACACACACAAATGTATACACACACACTAAAATTAGCACTAACACAAATGCACGCACACACACTGCAACTAACACACACATACACATGCAGGTTCCACCCTCCCTCTCTCCCTGGGCGCCCTGGGTTGGTGCCTTGGCTGCTGCCATCGATCAACTACTGCCGAGGCAGATGGCTCACCTGATGGTGTGTCATTCATTATTACCTAACCCAGGGCACGCTAAAACTACGACTAGCATGCACACTAACACAAACACACACACTAAAACTGAGACTAACGCACACACTCACACTAAAACTAACATTAGCGCACACACTAACCCGTGACAAAACTCTAAAATATGAACGTATAATTCCCCCGTGACTGGAGGAGTGAAAAGATATGCAGCAAGCGGTTTATTTGTGGACGGAAATGACAGGAGACGTGGGTTTAGAGGTGGGGAGTGCATGAAGAGGTGGAGGATGAGAGACCAACTTGTCTGTGTTACAAAGTCTCTTATGTACAAAAAACACAATATAAACACACCATCTTGGACCGATACATGACAGGATACCACGTGTAACGTTATGAAGTTCAGAATTTTCAGCTCCACACAGCTGCCCCTGTACACAGTAACACCCGTGTAGAAAACGCCAAGGTCGGGTGTTCCTCAGACTGTTTACATTCCAGGAGAAGAGCCAGAAGGAGAAGAACGCTTTTCAATAATCAAAGTACTTAATTTGTGATTAAAGCTAATCGAAACAGATGTTGATCAATAATAATCAAGTGAATGATCTGTGGAATAAAGATGTCATGATTTATGTGTTTAATGAAAACAGGACTACTGCACAGACAGACTGACCCTCATCTCCATAGAAAGGCATGACACATTGTTCCAACCAATCAGAGCTTTCGGCTGCCGCAAGAGAATCTGGCTTGTTGACTTAAAGTGTCCAATCCCGTTTACTGAAACTTAAAACAAATCAGAGATATAAAAACAAGGCAACGCCATTTTATGGGCAGTTCCATTTTGACTTCAGTTCTGTTCAGTTGGAAGTCCTACGGGGTTCCACCGTCATCAAAAGAGAAGTACAGCCTGGCCAGATGTGCTTTCTTCTTTAACTGAGAACTGTGAAGCTACTGGAGATTTCCGTTGTTTACCAGCAAGACGACATCCCTTCAAAATAAGAGCACCACTAGCTGAAGCTGCCGATGGTACCGGGGTCGACCCTTCAGACGGGCTTTGACGTGCTGTGACCGCTGCTTCAAACAGCTCCAGTACACATCTGAGGTCCTAGGACCTGGCATTTCCTGATCTACCTGGGAGACTCCACAGGGTACGTACACGGCAAAATAGCTGCTCATGTCATCAGCTTCCGAAGCCTCGTGGTCCGTAGTCACAACAACCAGATACGCTCCGTCAGCCTAAAGATCCTGAACAACACACACACACACGCACCAACACAACATCCAAATCCATTTTCATCCATCACAGAGTTAGTCCTGGTAGATTGTTAAGAATTTATAATTAAGAAATTAAAGATTCTTAAACGATCCCAACTCTCTCTCTTTTCTTGTCTCAAAGTCAATACAGAGTGTTTAATTAAACTCCCTGATGATAAAAACAGCCCATCTTCTGATTATAAAACTAGATCTACTTACAGTATATTAAAATACAACTCTAGATAGGTACATCACTCTATTTCGTTACACCACGGAACAGCGCTATGCCCTCTGGTGTCCTGGCGGGGAATTGCTTTGCAACACTCTCCAGGAGACGGGGAAGTATAAATCAAGCTTAAGGTCTTTACCCCCCCCCCACACACACACACACACACACACACACACGCACTTTCCTCCCCTGTAGATATGTGCTGGAGTGTGCTAGCTGTGGAGTCATCTACCGCAGCAGGCAGTACTGGATGGGAAACCAGGACCCTGAAAGCAGCGTGGTGCGTTCAGAGGTCAAACATGTGTGGGAAGATGTGAGTATTCCTGTCTGCTAAAAGGCTTTTGTGTTCCACATTGTTGCAGTCATGGGAAAATCCCATTTGTGTTTACCTCTTCTTCCAGTCGGATGCCTTCCTGACCAGCCACCAGAACGCTGCTCAGAGGGTTCTGGATGGGATGAACTTTGTGATCCAGTCAGTGTCGGAGTACAGCACAGGTCCTACTAAAGCTGTCACTGCCTGGCTCACGGACCAGGTGGCTCCCCCCTACTGGAGACCCAATGCAGAGATCGCTGTAAGGATCAGATGCAGAAACGACTTGATAGGACAGATAATCATAGTTCCTCTCATGTTTTCATGTGTCCCCCCTCCCCCCAGGCCTGCCATGGGTGCCAGAAGGAGTTTCAGGAGGCTGAGCGGAAGCATCACTGCCGATCGTGTGGGGAGGGATTCTGTCATCCCTGCTCCAGCCACAGGATGCCGGTCCCAGAACGAGGCTGGGGCAGCAGTCCTGTCCGGGTGTGTCAGACCTGCTACCGTCAGGGGGGCCCGACTGAGTCCAACAGCCAGGGTAAGGTGTGCTTCAGTCACTTACCGGCATGTTACCTTCAACTTGGCAGTACCGCGTCTTTCTCTCTTTTTCCCTCTGGTTTAGTGAGTAAAGTGGAGCCTCGCGGTCTGATAGCCCGCAGAGTGACGGAGGTGGCTCAGTCTACCCTCGACATGGTCTCTATGGCAGTGGACTACCCTCTGTGTGAGTGCTGCATTTTCTCCTGCTTTATTCAGACGATCACTCTAGCAGCACAGAGCACAGTACCCAAGTTCTGCTATTATCAGGGTTCCAAGCCCAATGTGTTTTTGCTTATCCTCCCAAGTCATAGGTCGCACACTCAAAACTTTATATGTGCTTGATCTTTGGATGTTCCTGCATATTTTTTGTGTTGGCCACACCCATTCCCACCTAAGTAGATTTTTTGCTAGATTGCAAAAAACACGAAACCTAGTTTTAATGACCAATCCATCATTTTTTGTCAAATCAACATGAAACGTGGGATATATAATCTATAGATCGAGGTAAGTAATTGTGATGAAGAGCATTGTAGGAATATTGAAAGTTTGCACCCAGGATCCGAAATTAAATTTTTTACTCACCGGCCAAGTTGGCTGGTAGATGATGAAAATCTACCGGCCAAGCATATTTTTTACCGGCCAAAATTCTACATGATTTAGATCTACCTAAAGCATGTAATTCTATATTATGTTGATTCCAAACAGAGTGACAAAATAATTAAAACATCAATTAATAAGGAAAACAACTCTTTTGTCATTTTTACTATTTATTTATTTTTAGAGATGTTTTTATGAACTCTTTCATTGAAATCTAGTCAGACTCCTTGTTTTCTCTGTCCATGAAGTCTGGCCTCCTGCTTCTGACACCGTCTTTGTGCCAAAGCCTTACAGCCTCATTTGGGTCATAGTCCTTGATCTCTGGAGAACACAGCTGCACCATGAGAATATCTGAAAGTGTGTCAGGGCTAGGGTTGTCACGGTAACCGGTGTAGCAGTAAACCCCGGTAAAAAAAAGTAGACAATAATAATAACCGTCTTGTTTTAAAAATATATATATATTATCTCGGTGGATTACCTTGGCTGCGGTGTAGGCGCGGTGACCCTTACCAGCCACCGTATCATCTGGAAGTTGCCGGCGGCACATGCGCACTTTGTTGTTTATGACCAAAACTTTCTTTAAGCTAAAGCTAAAATAATGGCCAGAGGAGACGGCACTCGGGACATTTATTATCCCTCAAAGAAGACAAAGTCGGAAGTATGGGCATTTTTTGGATATTTGAAGAATGCCGAGGGCCAGTTGTCTGTGAAAGGCAGCAACGCTACGTGGCCATCAAAATGTAGCCTGTCTCACGACTCCGCCATCTCCAGTTCGCCACTTTTCACAAAATCTTCTGGTTGCCACTGGTCCTGGTGGTTTTTCTTCCAGTTCGACGAGTTTTCTTTTGGAAGGCTGGCTGACTCCAGTTAAAAACCGCCACATTTCACCGCTAGTTTTAACACGAAGCTAACTGCTAACTTGATAACCTGAATGAATGGGATAGGTGGAAATGACGTTGGATGAGGCGTTCACGTTTCGCTAAGTTTGTGTACGTTGCATGCAGGCGGGAGGAGTATCAGACATCCATGGAAGATGACTGATAAACATAACTAATTTGGTGCAAACATTTACTCGCCAGGTGGCAGGTAGAGCTCAGAAATTTACTCGCCAAATGGAGCAATTTACTCGCATTTGGCGAGTGGCGAGTGTTAATTTCGGACCCTGTTTGCACCAATAACACAATGTCAAATTCAGTGTGCTAGCTAGCTCACGTCCTAATTGATGATATCTCCACCATTTTTTTATGTTAACTGATGAGACTCTGGATTCTTATAAAGTATGGCCTGTAAGCCATATGTATCTAATTTTGTTCTGATTCGCCAATAGGGGGCGCTAAAGCATCAAAAAGTTTGTTTCAGCGAAACAGCTTGATGGATTTCCACAAAACTTGGCACAGATCTTTATCGGACCCTTACGCTATAATTTGAAAATGATTTTAAAGTGGCTGTGGCTTACAGGCTCTAACATTTCTTACCCTTTTACTCATGAAAATTATACATTCTATCCAGAAATTTACAGTTCATATCTGTAATAGTATTATCTACAATCACAGAAAATGTTTAGAATTTTGTCCAATAGGTGGTGCTGTTGTTCCCCCAAAAATATTTTTAGCTATTTTCTCCCCATTTCTTCAGTCAGAAAAACAAATTATCTTATTTTGTATGTTCCTTGAATCAATCAAATTTAAATAAACTAGGGCTGGGGCTTGATTAAAAATTTTAATCTAATTGATTACAGGCTTTGTAATTAATTAATCTAAATTAATCGCATTTTAATCGTTCAGAAAAATGTGCTCTCAAAGTAAAACTTTTAATTAAAATTATGAGACAGAGAATCAAACATTAGATGTGGTTATTACTGTAAACTAAAGCTTTTAATAAAAAAATGCATTTTAATTATTCAAATGTCACTGTGTGATATGAAGCAAAACCCAAATCAACTAAAATTTATAATTACAAATAGAAAACACCTGTAAAGGGTTCCTGAGCCTGTAAATAGTCTCTCTGTCTAGTTGAATTACTGAAATAAATTTGACTTTGCACCAGATTCTAATTTTTCCAGCTTCACTTGTTTGTATAATTGGGAGTTTTTATTAGCATTTCTACTCATAATGTAGTAAAAACACATAAATAATAATCCTTCAAAATGACAGTAGAACAGGCACAAATATGGTCTAGGACTTAAATGTACTAACTTTTAACACCAGAGCAGGTGTGACATATTCTGAGAATGATCAGGAACACTAACTGGTTCCAGTTGGATGACTGGAGGATGATGGGAAGATAAAAGATCATGGCGAGGAAATAATGATCTGACGAACAGGTGAGCAGACCTTCCTTACATGGGAAGTCCTGATGTCACGTTAAGAAGGAGATGCTACAGAGTCTGCAGATTCACGCCTGCAGCAGCGAATCTGGTGTGATCTCCAGCCTGAGCACCACTTTCTCATTCCTCGCTGCCCCTGATACTCTTAAGCATCCGCCCCTCAGCTGATGACAGCTTCAACACACCTCGCTGCTTAATGATAGTAATGCATGTGATGTTTAGACAGTGACTCGTCTCAGAAACATAGAATTCCCCGACAGAATTGTTTAGAAAATCATCAGAAAAGTTTCAGAGTGTTTCTGTTTTAACTTAAACTTCTGTTTTCAACTTTAAGACACGTTGTTTGTGATTGTTTACAGAGTAGTGAGAACACGGAGCGTTCTTCCAGCGGCAGCCAGGTGCCTCTCGTTTATCTGCCTACTTTCATAAACTACTGTTAGGGCACAGAATTATTCTGTCTGGTGCTTTCAGCGCTGCACAGATGTTACGTTAATGTTAAAAATATAGCTTACCGCTACTTTTGTAAAGTTCCCGTTGCCACCGGGCAGCCGCAGCAGAGATGATCTCTGAAAAATGTCCGCAACACGGACTCCGTTGTTGTCTGGAAGTTTTTTTTTTCAAGTTAAGAAAAGAGGCGGACGTGTTTCCTAAATCCTGCATCAGTCCAAGCAAGGCAACTTCTTTCTGTTTTTATTCCGTTTTAGTAGCCATTAGCACTGTGCATTGTTGTGTGCGTCAGTGATATTCAGTCTACGAGGAAATCGTGCAATGACAAAGGTTCCGTCGTGCTTGAAACGCAAGCTGCGATTAAATGCGTTAATTTTTTTTTACGCGTTATTTTTTTCTAATGAATTTATCGTAATTAACGCGTTAAAGTCCCGGCCCTAAAATAAACCTTTAGAAACATTTTTACACTTATGCAAATTAGTATAAAATTGCATAAAATATCAAACATATTTTTGTTAACTCCTCCCGGCCGTCAAACCTAATCAAATCGAAACGTTGCCTGACAAGAGGGGAAGAGCGGCTGACCAAATGGTGTGAACGTTTTTTTTTTTTTTTGATATTTTATTTGTTTTACGAAATACAACCTTTTAAAATCATTTATTTTAAATGAAAAAGTTTTTTTTAGTATAACTGTAAAAGTTTTGACATTTTTCAAAACTTCATATCAACGGTACCTAAGGTCAATTCAAGTGTATATGTCGATTTTCAGCTTGATCCAACAATTGGGGGCGCTATAAATAGGAAAAATTTATACTGTCGAATTGGCTTAATGGATCTGCAAGAAACTTTGTGGATGTCTTCAATATACAGGCGGATCGGTCACATCGTTAATGTAAACTAGGAAGATTCAGAGATTTCTGTAAGAAAGCATAGATGTTTAATTAATTTTTTACTTCGTCACTTTTTCAGTGTTGTTGAATAAAAAAAGACTTTTTTTTAGATACAGAGTAAATATAAACCATAGATTACATTCTACATGTACCTATGGTTATCTGAGAATTTTCTACAAATTTTTAAAAAATTGCATTATTTTTGTATGAATATTTTAAATTTGGGGGTGACCATTTAAATTATATTTACCAATTTTTCTTGAGAAAAAAAAAAGCTTTGAATCTACTGATACAAAAACAGCGGCATTGTATTCACAGGTAGACATTGCCATGTGAGAAATATTTGGTAATTTTGTGTATTTTTTTTTTGGTGTATTTTTTTTTAGGATTTTTTTTTTTAAATAATTTGTTCAGAAAGTCATACAATGAAAGTTGTAGTTATTTTGAAATCGCATTGACTCTAGAGGCATTAATAAGTATTAATAATATTCCCAATATACTATTGATCAGTTAATTGTTTGGTAATCTTAAGATCAAAAATGGATTTGATAATAAAGTTTTTGTTTCGGTCATTTTAATTTCAAATCACAATATGTGTTTGTTTTTATTGAAAACTCATTTCATTTAGAAACAATAAAATTACAAAACATGATTTTTCATGACCTCATGATGATCCGAGAATATTTTGGAGAAATCTTTAAAAATAATACATTTTTAATGAATTTAATAAACATTGTCAGTAACTATTGAAATGTTAATGGCCTGTATTTGTATAGTGCCTTCGTAGGGTTCTACAATGTAGCTCATCCCCACAAGCGTGGCATCAGCTGGCATAGGCCAGACAATGCCCGCACTGCCCGCTCACCACAGCCATGGGATACACCTCATCAACACACAACACTACATTGGAGCAGGCGGAGGGAG